ACAGGGGTGAGCCACCGCGCCCAGCCTAGTCTTGACCTCTTTTAAACTCTGGATTGACACCCCCAACTGCCAACTACCACCTGTGGTCCTGCCATTTGTCCCCAGTTCAAGGATTAGAACCGTATATCTGCTTGGCCAAGCCTGGATCACATGCCTAGGCTCTAGCTGCAAGGAGGGCCCAGAGAGTACCTGTGTTTTTAGTTTCTGTAGTGGCATAGAAGTACCACTTCCCACCAAAACCCCGGAGGTGGGCCATTCCCCAGGCAGTTTGGATGCTCCCTCCGCATTGTGCTTCTGCTGCCCTACCTCTGTCGGTGGTCTCATTAAACTCCTAGGCCCCCAGGTTCAACTCCTGAACATTTTCCTGGACTTGTCCCCACATCCAAATCAGCCACATCAAAGCCCATCACTTCTTCCTGTGTAGCACCTCTCTCATCCATACCCTTCCCTCTGGTACCCCTGCCTCCATGTCAGGGCATTCATTCAGGAGGCACTGAGGGTCTCCTTTGTGAGAGGAGCTATGCTGAAGGGGAGCATGGAATACAACGCTGCTCTGAGGAACTGGCAGTCTACTGGGTGAGGCAGACACACGAATGATTAGGAGACAGTCTGGAAAGCATTGTCCTGCAGACCTGTGGGGAGCGCAGGAAGGCTTCCTGGAGGATGCCAAGGAATAAGCGATATGAGATAAAACAGGCATTTGGCAGTCTACTGAATCTGGGGAGGTGAATGGTGGACAGTCCACAGCATTCAAGAAGGCAGAGAGGTAAGGAAGAGCAGGGTATGTTTGGACACTAGCATGGCCGTCGCAGGGAGTCTGCTGGGAGGAGAAGGGAAACAGAGGTAGGAGTTCCTCTGTAAAGCGCCTTATGTGCTATACCAGGGAGGCTGGGGCAGTTAGCTGATAGCCTCAGAGGTGCCAGGTGTAGGGCGTGACTGGAGAGCAACACATAACCAATCCTAGGAGGGATGGGGACTCCTGCATCTGGTTGTCCGCTGAGCCCAGCCAGACACTTAACTGACTCTCAGCTAGTTCCAAACAAATGAAGGACATATGAAAGACCTGGAAGCCACTTGAGGAAGGGATGTCTCTACGACCCGCCTTCAGAATCCCTCCTTCCCCCTCCACATGGCAGGGCAGCAAGCTTATGGAAGCTTTCTGGGGAGAGATGTGGAGAAGAGGAGGTTGGTGTCCCTCAGCACAGTGAGCACCCTGAGGTCAGGGCAGGGGATGGGCTGCTGGGGTTTGGGGGACAGGGATACTGGCTCTGACTTTGTGGGACAACAAGCTGGTCTCTGAGCTCTCTTATGAGAAAGAAAGAAAGGAAGGGAGGGAGGGAGGGAGGGAGAGAGGGTGGGTGCAGTGGCCCAAGCCTGTAATCTCAGCACTTTGGGAGGCCAAGACATGTGGATCACCTGAGGTCAGCAGTTCGAGACCAGCCTGGCCAACACGGTGAAACCTTGTCTCTACTAAAAATACAAAAATTAGCTGGGCATGGTGGCCCATGCCTGTAATCCCAGCTATTTGGGAGGCTGAGGCAGGAGAATCATTTGAACCTGGGAGGCAGAGGTTGCAGTGAGCTGAAATCGCACCACTGCACTCCAGTCTGGGCAGCAGAGCAAGACTGTCTCAAAAAAAAAAAAGGTTCAGTGGTCAGGGCTGTGTGGCTCAGGGGGCTGGAGCAAAGCAGCAGAGAAGGAGCTCAGTCCTGGAACCGTCCTGAGGGAGGGAGTTAGGGGTAAGGTAGTAGCCAGGGCCAAGGCTCCGAGGGAATTCTTCCTCAAGAAAGGGGATGAGAGGCTGGAGAGGCAGATGGGAAGATGGTGAGGCTGCTGCTGGCCGCTGGGCGGAATGTAAGTGGGAGTGCCCACCACCACCCATCCCCCAGGCCCAGCTTGTGCACAAAGACTTCTCTGTGAGTGGCCATGGAAGTGGCCCTGTCAGGTGAGGGGGCTTAACTCCCAGGGAGTGGAGTGGAATGGGGCTGGAGGAAGGGAGGGCTGAGAGGTGGCCTCAGGCTTTAACCAGGTCTGGGCAGGAAAGAGAGAGAAGCTGAGACCAGGCCGGGGTCTCACAGTGAGGCCATCCATGGTCTGGTCCAGCTGTCCCCAGGATGGGCTCCTCTCCATCATCCAATCAAGGCCCCAGGGCCCCAGCACCAAGGCGCTGACCTGCCCCTGCCTTCTCCCCATGTCTTCCCAGCTATAACTCCTGATCCTGCCAGGCCTCTCCAGCCTTCCTTCCCCTCCTTATACATGTTGTCTCCTGACGCTCTTGGGACTGATCCCGCTTGGGACTGGCCCTGCTTGGGACTGACCCTGCTTGAGCGTCTCTCATCTTCCCAGCATGGGGTCTCCCTCCAACTCCTGCACAGTGCTCCCGCTTCTGGGAGGGCTGTGTTGAGAGGATGGAAAGACAAGATGGACCATAGCTAAAAAGGAGTCCCAAAGCTACCCTAGTCTCCACACCCACTCTTGCCTTCCCTGGGAGAGGCTCCTCTCCTGGCCTGGCCTCGGTGCCACTTACTGCTAATCAGCAATGTGTAGAGACCTTTCTCCCATCCCCCCACCTCCAAGACCTTGTTGGACACACTGGATTTT